AAAGAGAGAGAGAGAGAGAGAGAGAGAGAGAGAGAGAGAGAGAGAGAGAGAGAGAGAGAGAGAGAGAGAGAGAGAGAGAGAGAGAGAGAGCGCAAGAGAGAGAGAGAGAGAGAAAGAGAGGGAGAGAGAGAAAGAGAGGGAGAGAGAGAAAGAGAGAGAGAGAGAGAGACAGACAGACAGAGACAGAGACAGAGAGATGAAATAGAAGGCCAGTAATTAACCGCTGTATATGTAGATCACCATTTAGCAGCCCCGAGCCACCACTTGGCCGCGAGGACGGGTAGGGTGTAAGACTCTCAGGTTGCACAATTACTCATCCGTTTACCCATGCAAGAGATTAAATCAAATGACTAACATGGATTTGCTTATCTCCTACATTTTGTTTAAAGACGGTAAAGTGGGTTTTATATCATAGGAAACAGCAATAAAAATCATTTAAGCCTTTAGTCTGTCTTTACACCTTTATGAATTGATTAAATTTGCGATATGTAGTAATAAATGTTTCAGATATTATATTTTCTTCAGATTTGTATTTTATTACTAATTTCTCTGGATAGTAACAGATACCATAATGTTGAAAAAAAGTAAACTTGGCGGTATATGAGAAACTGACTATTTAGACTTCGGTAAAAGGACAAAGAATGATAAAATTGGACTAATGCTGATTTGATCTATAACAGACAAGGATTTTGTAACAAAAATAAATGCAGTGTGATGGCTGGCTGAAGTTACTGGAAATTTCGTAGCTTGGCTGTTATTAAGACGTAAAAACAACTGCCAATTTCAACATGACAGAAACTTGTAGGTGTTAAATCCAGTTCGCGTCATTGAACATTTTCTGTAACTAGGTTCCTTTGTGACTATCATGGCAACATTGGTAACATTTCTAATTGCTGGTGCAGAAGAAATGAAACTTGGGTCTTAACGATTAGTATATTGTATTTTTGCTATATCAAATATTTGATATTTGATAACATTTCTTTAAATTAATTATTCTGTCTTCTTTATTCCCTTCCCTTTTCAGGAAGTCTGTCTCTCCATCTATATACATTAGTCATGCATCCCTTACGAAAGGAGAAACCAAGACATGACAATCTCCCTCCTTGAGCCCTACATACACAATGGCACCTATGGCACTGTGGGACCAATAACGTGCTGTTGTCTCCACTCTGGGCAAGTGCTCTCTTTTCACTTTTTCCTGGCAGTTACTGTTGATTAACCACACCTCTGTCAGAAACCTGTGTTCTCTTCCAAAATCCCAGAATATGTGATTTCAATAATGATAATATTAGATATTTACACATTAGCCAGAGTCAAGATAATGACGTTAATATTCCATTGAAAAAAACAAGCATATATTTAGGTCTTATACATGCACCTGTGGTCCTTTGTAACAAAAAGCAAATTTAATGCACTGCAGCCTAAAATTAGCACATAAACTGCTGTGCACTATCAATATATATGCTTTGTTTCTCAGACAAACAGTAACAGACAATATATTGTCATATAACATTGCACACTCTCGGATCCTTTTTATTATTCCTTATTTGGATCATCATATTTTGGGTTTTATTTTATACTATACTACAAATCATAATGAGATGTTACTTTTCATGAAATAAACCAATAAAATCCTTAATCTCATAATTATAAAATCCACATTAACAGTACACATGCAACAAAGGTTATTAATACATCCTTCAATGTTATTTTTTATTGTATGGAAATCTTTTTTTGGCAAAAATATGCATATGATGTGAAAGTATTATCATATCCCAGCTGATATTATTTAAACATCAAAAATAAAATACAATCTCTGGCACTCGAAAATAGAAAAGAAAAAAAATGAAGGGAACCACCTGTTAGCCAGGGTACTAAAAAAATATGAAAAGAAAAATAAATAAATAAATAAAATAAACAGATGAACTCTATAATAAAAAAATGCAGAATTTAATTAAAAGCTGCCAGTATAAGTCTATCATGTTGTCAGCTAAATGAAAAAGGTCTTGGCTATAACTGGTGAGACGTATGTAAAATTCCTATTAGCTTGACACAAAAATGAAATACTAATAAAAAAAATAGTCTTTCAATATTCACAATCCCAATATTCACAGTTTATTTTTCAATGCATAGCAATAAACCCAAATTGACTTATATGCATTCCAAATCACAGATGGTCCCCTTAATAACACCAAGCATGTGATAGACAGTATTTCAACTTCCATCATCCAAGAGATTTGAACATTTGCAAATATTAACATTTGCACATCTTTACACACAATGTGGCACTTAATTACAATATTTCTTTGCAGTCTAGGCAAAATTTCTCATGGCCTCACATTCAAGCACAGTAATTTTACATATTTTCTTATAAGTAGATAAATTTCACTCCAAAAAATTAAGTCTTCCATTATTATCTGTCTTGCACATTTCTATAAGTAAAAGGTTTAGTTTCACCTTTCCACACGTTCCCAGCAATACCTGTCATTTACAGACAATCTCCTACCGCACATCAACATCCTTACAATACACTGAAACCAACAAGTCCACAGCATTAACATCATTACAATAATCCTGTGTAATGCACATCCATCCTGTTAAGAGATTTTTCCACATCCATCCTGTTAGAAATTCTTCCTATAGTATTGGCTGGACTGAGCTGAAGGTGGGGGAGGATGGTGGAGAGGGGGCCCAGGGGGGTGTGAAGGAGGCGTCTGCGGTGGGGGAGTCGACCACTGCGCGGTGGAGTACTGCCCGTCATACTGAGATCTGTTGACGTAAGTGGTTGGGGGAGGAACGGCAGGTGTCACATTTGAGTACGGTGGAGGCGGCACATTGGGGTTGGGGGGTGGGGGGGCAGCTGGGTTTGGAGGGTATGTATACTGTGGGGGCTGTGTACTATAGGCTGTGCTAAAGGAAGAGGAGTAGGGTGGGGGTTGGGGATGGGAAGGGGGAGGCTGAGAGTGAGCTGGGGGTGGACTGGTGAAGGAGTGAGTTGGGGGAGGATGTGTGGGGGGCATGTGAGGGTGGGGGTGTGGGGGCGTTGGATGTGACGGCCCAGAATGTTGGAAGGAGGAGTGCGACGAGTGTTCTGGCTGGTCCTGCAGTGGGACGGTGATGAGATTGGTCCTGGCTGTTGTCATTACAGGAATCACTGAAATGTGATGAGAGGACGCCTGGTGGTTGCCCGCCGTTTGGTGAGACTGCCCGTGATTAGAACCAAACTGCCCTGAGCCCTGGCGGGAGAACTGTGAGCTGGAATAGGAATCCCTGTGTTCGTAGCCTTCCTTGCTCACCCTGGGGTCTGACATAGCCCTTGGGTCTTGTCTGATGTCTCCCCTTGGATCTGTTCTTGTGTCCCTGCCTTCACCCCTTGGGTCTCTGTGGCTCAAACGCTCTTCTTTCAGCTCTTCCTTCGGCAGGCCTGTTGCCCCAGGCACTTTCATGTGCCGGTGGTCTATGTGGGCCTGGAAAATTATTTGTAATCACCTAAAGACATAGTTCATGTTTCAATAATATCTGAGAACTTTTTTTCCCATGAATTATTTCTACGAAAACCAAAGATCATTTAAATTTCATATTAAAAACTCCAAACAAATGAACAACAGTAACATCAACAATAAAATCAATCAAAGGTCTTTCATATGTCTACTCAATTATCAAAACCAAAGAAAAAAATATACAAGGAATTAAGAAATGCTCACCTGGAGATCCCTCTGAGATAAATATGTGCGTTTACAAACAGTTTTATTTATATTGTAGTTGCACATAAATACCGTTCCAAGGCCTATCTGCTCTACTCTGGCCACACGCTCTCCACATCTTGCGCACACACGGTCTTCCCCACGGGCACACCACAGGCAAAATACATGCTTACAAGGTATCTGTAAATGAAAGTATTTCAAGAAAAATACCCAGTCATGTTTGCATTCTATATCATCTTTCACATCATGTGAAGCAAGAGAATAAGGGAGGAAACTCACCATTCTTCCATAGATGAGGATAGGCTTATTGCAGGTATCGCAGATATGTATCCGGGGAGACAAGACCTTCTCCCCAATGAGGTTGACAGGGTGGTCCCACGACAGCCGCAGCATGGGGGCAGGAGGTCCTCTGTCCAGCGTGGTGAAGGTTGGAGCCTCAAGCGATGATATGTCACAATCTTGGTCATCTGGGAGAGAATGCGGAAGTGGGTTCGATTTTGAAATAATGATGACAAGTTTAACCCAATGGTGATGGGTGAAAAGAAAAAGAAAAAGAAAAAGAAAAAGAAAAAGAAAAAGAAAAGAAAAGAAAAGAAAAGAAAAGAAAAGAAAAGAAAAGAAAAGAAAAGAAAAGAAAAGAAAAGAAAAGAAAAGAAAAGAAAAGAAAAGAAAAGAAAAGAAAAAGAAAAAGAAAAAGAAGAAAAAGAAAAAGAAAAAGAAAAAGAAAAAGAAAAAGAAAAAGAAAAAGAAAAAGAAAGAAAGAAAGAAAGAAAGAAAAAAACTCTATGCTCTGGCAAACAATGGCAGCGCGCCGACTTTGAGCGCGTGAGTTCGGTACATCAGCCCGAATCACTGGCTCGCTGCGCTTTGGCTTGCCGCACGCCACTTTTTGAGTGGTTTGTTTTCACGCCTAGCGGCATCACCCATTGGGGAGGGGTTAATATTTTTATTTGATTCATTGTTCCAGTAGAATTTTTCATTCAATATTTGAAATTTAATTAAACTGACAAAGTTGTTCTTAGAGATCCCTAAAGAATATGACAATATACCAAAGTATGTGTACAATTAACCCCTATGCCTCTTGAGCTGCCTAAAACACTGAGAGGCCTAAACAACGGGGCACTCACAAATATGAGGGCAAATGCCATGTGCACTTATCTTAATGAGATATCTGCATGAATAAAGTCAAAATTCCTGATAACATCCTGCCTACACAAAGCAAGGTCTACATGATAGACAGGCTATAAACTATGATTGGGCTAAGATACTGATAGCATAGTGAATGTGTCCCCAGTGGGAAAGGCAATCTTTGCATGGTATGACATACATATCACCAAGAGGTAATGGGTAAATGGTTGTCCCTCCTCACCCATAAGAAATGTTTAAGACACTGTAATTTTAATGACGTTCCACTTTATGTCTTGTGAGAGTATCTGCCATAATATTACTAGCTTTTTGTGTACTGATACCCATTCAATTGATTCCCAGATATCATTATCCTATTGGTAACAGAAATGGCACATAAAATATGCATGAACATGTCATTCACATAAAGTTGGATGTTAGAAGCCATTTAAGTACCCGAAGCTAATAGCATATGGAAATAAGGAAAAGGTATTTCAAGGCCTATTTTTCAAAAGTTAGGATTCATTTTCATTTACTCTAACTACTACCCTTAAGGCTGATGAATTTGACTAGTTGAAGCTGCTTTTGTAAGAATGAATAGAGACTAAACTCTACCTAACCTTTAGATAAAAGGAAAAGTTGGTAATGCAATTATAAGGAGCATGTCACATGTGAAGTATATATAATAAATACAGTGCAAAGTGATTGGAAAAAAGTCAGAAATAAGCTCTTTGAATAAGGATTTGACTATTTACAAAAATCAAAAGGAAACTTCAACATATTAATATTCACCAGGTGCACAGTCACACAAACTGATTTAATATTTTCATCTTCTTACTTGTTTTATTTTCACATTATTATTATTTATTTATTTATTATCAATTTATTTTAGTTTTCTCATTATTACCATTATTTTTTTTCCATTTAAAACTTACACTGCTTTGCCTTTGGAGGTTCGTTTTCATCTACTGGCGGAGGGGCCGGCTCTTCTTCCTCTTCCTCACTCTCTATCTGAAATGTGAATAATAAGCAGTAGTTAGTAGTGATAATGATTGAACAATAGTAACAGCTTAGCGTTTTGCAATTATTTGCTTTCTTATTGTTATCATTATCATTATCATTAGTATTAACATTTTTATCTTATTATTATTATCATTATTATTATTATCATCTTATCATTATCATCATCATTGTTATTATTTAAACAATTTATTTTATCATTCCTATCATTCATTCAACATATAAGTGTTCTTAATCAGCTTCTGTTCCCAATAACAAACAAAAATCAATCTGCAGCAACCATAATGATATCTTAATTCATTTGTTACGAGATGAGAAAAAATATCAATAATAAAACATGGATGCAAAAAATATCAAGCCTAGTTCCTACCTTATTTCTCTTGTTGACGCGCAGACCCCTGGGAGGCCCTCGCGCTCGTCCTCTTGGCCTCCCTCGCCCCCTCCCCCGGCCGCGGCTGCGTCGCTGCTCCTCAAACTCCCCATCTGAAATGGCCAAACCAAGGAGCATTAATTACATATCTATCTATTTATCTATTCATTAATTCTTTAACGACTGGCGAGCCCTGTGATAATGACAAATGACTCTTCTGCCAATACTAAAATGAGAGAGTTTTCGAAATGTGTCCAAGGTTGGGGATGCGCATGGAGCCTCTACTTACCTACATGATGCTCAAATAAAAAGCAGAAGAAAAAGGGAGAGAGAGAGAGAAGGAGAAAGAAGAGACTAAGTCAAGCCAAATCTACTAATCTACTCTGAATTTACATACATAAGAATCTTCATTAACATGTTTAGGATAAAATAAGAAGCCAAAGCTGAGTTTTTAAACACTGGCATCACTGAGTTACACAGAAATTGAACACAAGCAGAAACAAGTAGATACAGACACACACACACAAACTTATGTCGCAATATCAATATATGCAATTTTCTTTTCTTTGCCTTGAAACTAGCTTAAGAATCGTTATAAAGACATATATAACAAAAGCAATACATTTTTTTTTGCATGTGTGTGTGTGTGTGTGTGTGTGTGTGTGTGTGTGTGTGTGTGTGTGTGTGTGTGTGTGTGTGTGTGTGTGTGTGTGTGTGTGTGTGTGTGTGCGCGCGCACGTGTGTGTGTTTGTAAAATCTACATATATGAACAATAGATATGTACTGTATAAGTGTATCTACATATAATTATTTATATCTTTTTTTTTCACTATCTTTTAATCCAATGCCGACGGGGAAAATTAATAAAAAATGGGGAAAATGACATGTCAAATACACATAGATGGCTCTGCTAATGCTTAGCCAGAAAGGAGTCAATTAGTAGATCTTGTGACCTTACCTGAATTGAATTGGTGGGAAAAATGCATTTTTTACTAGTGCTATGAATTTCAATGGTGTTATCTTTATTATAAACATTATAATTACTATAATGTGACAAACATTCAGCAAAATAAGGTAAAGTAAAATATTTTCATAAATCAATGAAAAGGGTAAACGGGCAAGACAGGCAGTACTCGTAACTGGCTCAATGGTGACTTAGTACAAGTGTAGCCATCTATGTGTAAAAACAATCAAACAAGTAACTCACAGCAGGAATAGCATGTACACGTCATGCCCATCGGCAATGGGTTAATACAGCTCTTCAAAAGATGCATAAAGATTAATGTTGGCAATTCACTATGGTAAATTTATAAACAAAATATTTATAAGAAATAAAAATACAATACTATAATATAATAATAATAAGTATGATAAAAACAACAACAATAGTTATAACAACAATAAAAAATGATGAAAAGAGTGTGTGTGTGTGTGTGTGTGTGTGTGTGTGTGTGTGTGTGTGTGTGTGTGTGTGTGTGTGTGTGTGTGTGTGTGTGTGTGCGTACATATATACAGTAAGTCCCCTACTTACGAACATTCCATACATGAAAACAAATGTTAAAAAAATACTTAAGTCCAAAAAATTGTTTGAAAGATGCTAGCAAACTTCAAATTTCCTGGGCATGAATATAGTTCACGAGTCTGCCACGCTGTGGCTCTGCTGTGCTCACTCAACTGTGCGCACCACTCGCCTGCCCTCCCGCCATAAACACGAAAGCATCTGTTCACTATGTCCTCATGTACCGCCAATTTTTGTGCCATAATTCGCTTTACCTATGCATCAATCCATCAAAAATACTTATTAGGATTTTTGTACAGGTATTCTTAATGTAAACAAAACTTTAAAACAATGGGAAAAAAGGCAATGGAGACCCGACTTTGATATACGAACAAATAGAGTTACGAACAGCCTCTCGATCCCCATTATGTTCGTAAGTTGGGGACTTTCTGTATGTGTGTATATATACACATGTATAAACGCGTGTGTACATATGTGTGTGTGTGTGTGTGTGTGTGATATATATATATATATAGTATATATATATATATAGTATATATGTATATATATATATATATATATATATATATATATACATACATACATATATATACATACATATATATACATACATATATACATATATATACTCATATATACACACACACTGAGAGCTTGCTGGAGCTTTGCCTAACGTTCTTACCATCTACTTCAAGTGCAGCTTCCTTTATTGTGTCATTGAACTGTTTGTTGATATGGTCAATGTTGAGATCTTTGTCGCTGAGAAGTGAATATCTGTCTTGTATATTAGGGTTAAGTTCAGTTGCTCTGGTCTTCAAGTTAGTTACGTTTGGCTGCATTTTTCTAATGAGTTTGTTTCTTTCCTTTCTGAGATATAATTTAATTTGGACTCTGACCAGTCTATGGTCACTGCCAACATTTACTTTATTAATAACTTCCACATTTTTTATGATATCACACCTATTTGAAATTATGAAGTCAGTTTCATATTTGATGTCAGATGATGACTTCCATGTCCACTTCCGCTCTAGTCTTTTTTCGAAGAATGTATTCATGATATTGAGTGATCGAGCCTCTGCGAAATCAACGAGCATTTGTCCCCTCTCATTCCTAGTGCCTATCCCGTGATTCCCCAATACGGTTTCTCCTCCGGTCTTTTTACCTATTGTGGCATTAAAATCTCCCATAATTATTGTGAACTGTGTTTTTACTCTCTCACTGGCTAAATGAACATCTTCATAGAAGCTCTCTACTTCTTCATCACTGTGGCTGCAGGTCGGAGCACAGACTTGAACGATCTTTAAGTTGTACCTATTGTTTAGTTTTATTGTTAATGAAGCCACTCTTTCACTTATACTATAGAATTCTACAATATTCTTTTCTAAACGTTTGTGAATTAAGAAACCTATCCCTAATTCCTGCTTGCTACCCTGGGGTTTGCCTCTCCAATAAAGGACGTGTCCATCATTTACTATCTTCCGTTCTTCGCCTAGTCTTCCAACTTCACAGAGTCCTACAACATCCCATTTAATGAAAGAGAGTTCCTCAAGTAATGCTAGTAAGTTGGATTCAGTTGTCAATGTCCTTATGTTGTATGTGCAGAGGTACATCAACGTGGGGCGGCCTGTTTTAACCCGCATTTTAGCACCCCCCGCTCCGGAGCGATCCTGATCGCCGCCGTAACCAGGGGCTCCTTCGCCTCCGGGGAATGAGGGCCGTTGTTCTGTTTGTGCAGTCATGGTTTTTGATTGAGAGGTAGACAGCCGAGTTACCCCCCACCTACAGGCTTAGGTGTAATTGGTGGTAATAAGGTACACACCCGTTACTTCTCCGTAGGCCTTCATGTAGCCACAATATCACCCTTGTGTCAACACATCCTCTGTTACGCGACCCTGACAACACTGTAACCACAAGCTTTCTGTTTGCTCTAAGTCCTCTTGGTCTGCTTACTCTTGTCCCAAAAGCGTCTGCTGGTTCCTCTGCTCTGTGTTTAATAGGTCACTGTTGTGGCGGGAGCGTCAGCAAGACTCTAGCACTGATCAAGCAGGCACTCGGCAAGGCGTTTACTTGGTGACCACATTATCCACTTCTTTTCTTTCCTCTATCATTCTTCTTCTTTCCCCGACTCCGTCTAGGCTACACTAATTCTTCCTTCAACCCTGCTGGGTCATCCCACCCAGCCCTTCCGCCTGCATTCCAACCGAATACGCCAAAATACGAGCTCAAAGGTTCAGGCCGAAATGCCACGTGCTCAGCCCTTCG